CCTAATGTCCTATGATCTGCAAAGGCTCTGCAAGAGGCCTATTTCACTGGGCAAGTTCTAGAACCCCTTTTAGGTATTCCAATCAGTTATTGGCTGAAGACGGGCTTACAAGTTTTCTGTAATTATGTTTCCCTGTGAGTGGGTGATGATGTAAGTGAAAAAAAAAAAACAAAAACAAAAAAAAACTGGTTTAAGAAGAACAAGTAGAAGGCTACTGCAATTGCCCAATCAGAGGTAGTGAAGACCGCAAATAGGATGGATGCTTTGGGAGAGGGGAACAGTGATTTGGGAGGGATAATTAAATGGGACCTGGCTTTTAATTGCATTTGCCCTTTTTCTCACCCCTCTACTCCCCTAATTTCTTCCTCTTCTGATCATGAAGGCTAGAACCCATGTAAAGCAGAAACCTGTCAGAGAAAGAAAACATTATCCACCAGTAAAGAGTGATAGAAAAATGGTCAAAGGTGGAAATACTTGTGACATCTGAAAAACAAGGTAGCCATGCCAGGTTTCAGCTCTCATAGGCTTCACTATATTAATTCGTTTTTCACTCAATCATTTATGTTCTTGTAAAGTAGCTCAAATTTTTTATGGGACTGTGCTGGTTGTTGTTCTTGCTGTTTTTTTAAGTTAAGTCAGTTTCAACTCACAGCGACCCTGTATAGGGTTTCCCAAGAAACCTGGTGGGTTTGAACTGCCGACTTGCAGTTAGCAGTCCAGTATTTATCCTACAGCACTACAGCAAGACTCTCTATGCTGGTTACAATCACTTACATAAAATTGCCTACTTATAATAGAAATGTTGTTGTTGTTAAGTGCTGTCGAGTCGATTCCGACCCATAGTGACCCTGTACAGTTTTTCCGAGGCTGTAAATCTTTATGGGAGCAGAAAGCCTCATCTTTCTCCCGTGGAACAGCTGGTAGTTTCGAACTGCTGACCTTGTGGTTCGCAGCCTGATTCGTAACCACTGTGCTACCAGAGCTCCTTTAATATAGAAATATTTACATAAATATTGCATGTATTCACATTCATTTATAAAGTTTATAAATATCCAATTTTAAATAGATATATTCACTCAGAAGTTTATGTACAGAATATACATAGATCTCATTCCAAGTTTGGGGGAGTGACTTTCAACATCAGTTTATCTTCACAAAGTTCTGAGATAAGTTCTTCTAGATATTCTTGCATATAGACTCTTGAGCTGAGAAGTGGGGTAAATACTATCTGATCATTAACAGTCAAGAATTTGATACATGTGGGATGGGTGGGGGGAGAAAAAACCAAGGTTACGACACCAAACTTTTGATTGGGAAAGCCGTATTTGACACTGACACACACACACACACAAACAGCTTACATCTCTGAAAGCGAGGCTCAGAGTTGGGCTGGAAACTGAGCAGTGAGTAATCATTTTTGTCTCTAAGGAGAGAAGGGATCTGAGCTACACTAACTAGAGAGTGCTTGCTATGCACAAACTCATGAAGAGAAGATGGCTAAAGACAGCAGGGTATATTCTAAGTTTCTAGGAAATAGTTAACTGTGGTTCTTTTGGGACTTTCTGCTCCCATGCAAATTTAAAGCCCCAGAAACCCTATACAGGGTCACTATGAGTCAGAACTGACTCAAAGGCACTTAACAATAACATATTTTTCAAATCTTTGGTAATAGATACAGGTCAAGAACTAGAAAACAGAAGGCTTTGAGTCAAAACAAATACTTGGGATTGAAGAAAACAAGAACTGATTTTTGGAGCTTAGTGCATCTGAGAGAAGATGTTGTGAAGACATGGGACACGGCACAGGGTTCTCACAATGTGTGTGTGTTTGTGTGTGTGTGTGTGTGTGTGGTGGACGGCAGCTGGATAATGACAGAAGGAACTCCTAGTACTCTGAGTTACATCTTCATAGTGAGGATTTTTCCTTTGTAAGAAAAAGTTTGCATTTCTAAAATATGTCCCCATATTCAGATCTAAATTCATAATATATTTTCAATCCTGACAAGTTATTTTTGGACCACTCCTACCCTATGGGTCGGAACAGACTCAACGGCATTTCACAACAAGAACAACATTATACATAAGACATGAATGGATGGACTTCAAGGAATCTCTAAACTTCCTGAAGTCAGATGCAAAATTATGTGCATATTTGTATTTTGTTCTAGAATGAGTCTCTAGCTTTTACCAGATTTGAATCCATGATCCAAACATTGCTAAGAAACAAGAAGATAATTAAAAAATAAATAATTAAAAATGATAAAATAAATCCCACAACAAGTGGCTTTTTATTAAAGGGTTTTAACATAAATACACTTACATCAAGAGCTACAGACTGCTTGGCCCACGACTTCTTCACTTGATCATACATAATTGTATTGTTGATGCCAAGGCCACAGAAGATGACAAAAGCCTATGAAAGAGAAAATCCACTAATTAAAAACTGCAATAACTCATTGGTAAAATTCAGCCTGAGTGTAGGCAGTCATCAGGGATGGGTCCAAAAATATAATTTTATTGTACACAGAGGTGGCCTTTGGGGAAATAGGCACATTAAAGTTCTTAATTACTATTGTCATGTAACAACTTTACAGTTCACATTGCACATGAGAAAAATGGTTAATGTTATTATGGAGAAACTGTTTCATGCATTTAAAAATATAGTTAATAGCCCCTTTAAATGTGTTTTTAATTCATTTAGAGAGAGGACTGATTTAATAACGAATTCCATTTAGCCAAAGAAACCTTTTTCAGTAGCTATTCTATAAAACCTTGCTGGTAAAATGTTATGGGAAAGACAGATTGATTTAGATCCATGATAGCATAATCACTGGGTTGCTAATAACAAGGTTGGCGGTTCAAACCCACTGGCTACTATGAGGGGGAAAGCTGAAGCTTTCTGCTCCCATAAAGATTTACCACCTGAGAAACCCTATACAAGGTTGCTATAAGTCATAATCAGTTAATTTTTTTTAAAATAGAGAAACTGGAACCCTGCTGGCACAGCGGTTAAGCGCTTGGCTGCTAACGGCTAACCCTCATGGCTAGTGGTTTGAACCACAGGAAAACAGATGTGTCAGTCTGATGCTGTAAAGATTTACAATCTTGAAAACCCCACAGGGTCTTTCTGCTTTGTTCCATTTGTTTATTAGGAGTCAGAATTGACTGGCTAACAATGAGTTTTGCTTTGTTTTTTGAAATAAAGAAGCTGTGAGGTATTCTTGCCTAGAGAAAGGGGGTTTCTTGTTGTTACGTGCTGTACAGTTGGTTTTGATTTATAGGATTTTGAAGCCTTTTAAAATCTTCTGCGGAAGCAGAAACCCTCATCTTTCTCTTGAGAAATGGTTGGTGGGCTCGAATCGCTGACCTTGTAGCTCACAGACCAGTGTTTATCCTATGGAGCCACCATGCTCCCATGCTTGTTGGATAGTTGCATAAAGTTTTCAGGAAGCCTGTCTATGTTTGAAGACTCTCTGAGTGGTGCAAATGGTGAAATACTGGTCTACTGACCAAAAGGTTGGTGGTTTAAACCCAACCAGAGGTGCCACAGAAGACATGTCTGTTATCTCTCCCACTAGAGGGCACACTGAAGTAAATGGAAGCTTGTAAACAAAAGAAAGGTCACCTGGCCTCCTGGCTAGGTGAGGGCTAGGGCCTTCACAACTTTGAATATGAGTAAACAATAAAGGTTAAAACAACAGCCTTTTGAAGACCAGAGGATGAAATTTAACTGTTGATGAAATTGTTGCTGTTGTTAAGTACTGTTGAGTCAGTTCTACCTCATAACAACCTTGTATAGGGTTTCTGAGGAGTAGCTGGTGGATTAGCCCTTGTGGTTAGCAGTCTAGTGCTTATCCTACAGTGCCACACCAGGAATCTGTATCAAAATTAGGATAAGAGTAATCAGTGATTGAAAAAAAGTTGATTAGTGGAAAAGAATAAAAGCTTACCTGTTAATATATTCTTTAAATTTTGTCACATCATTTATTCATAATAGTAATGAATTAGCCATTACTTGTGCTTACAAATTTGAGCAATTTAACCAGGAGACTGTTGATGACTCAGCTATAACCCTTGTTTGTATTTTCTTACCTCAAAAAGTCGCTGGTCTGCATCATCAAAAGGTTTTCCATCCAGTCTATTTAACACTTGAGCCACTCCTGTGGGAAAAGTTTGAAGTAAGTGGTCATTTTTTGTGTTGTACATTGTGTTACTGCACTATATATAGCAAATCACAACTGACTCCAGAGCTCCATTAAATAATTGTAGGCACTCAGTTTAAATTCTGTCTCTCTAGTGCCTTCTAATTTCATGAGGGTGAGTGTGAAGTATATAGTCTATCTTCTAAGACTGTGCACTGACGATAGCTTGTCATCCTACCAGGCATCAGTGAATTCCTGAAAATGGTTTTCAAGATGGTTGTGCCCTACAATTTTGAAAGAACTTAATATCTATTTCTATGCACACACATATATAAATATATAGATACACACACAAGTTATAGGTAAACTGAATATATAAATGAATAATATAAAACTATAGTAATCAAACACACTTATTTAATTAAACACATTGTTGTTGTTAGGTGCGTCAAATGGTTTCTAACTCATAGTGACCTTATGCACAACAGAACAAAACACTGCCCGGTCCTGTGCCATCCTCAGAATTATTGATAAGCTTGAGCCCATTGCTGATGCTACTGTGTCAATCCATCTAGTTGGGGGTCTTCTTTCTTTTCACTGACCTTCCCACTTTCCCAAGCATGATGTTCTTCTCCAGGGACTGGTCCCCCTGATAACGTATGAAATATTAAAGATTAATTATCCCCATCTTGTTTTCTAAAGAGCATTCTGGTTGTACATGTTCCACCAGAAGTACATGTTTAATCTGGCATTTATTAGCTCTTTCAATATTCTCCTCCAACACCATAACTCAAATGCATCAATTCTTCTACATACTTCCTCATTCATTTTCCAACTTTCACAAACTGACCTTGTAGTCCAGTGCATTATCCTATAGCTCCACACTAGGACACATACATAT